CAACAGTCTGCCTTATTTAATAAGTTATTTAATAACTTCTCTTCAGTTTCCACCAAGTTAGATCATGCTCGTTAATACCTGTTTCTAAAAAGAAATTCAAAATCAGACACTTCTCTGTCTTATTCAGTACCTCTTATATCAATGTGTTGGTGAACAAAACTAAGCATGTACTGATAAAATTAGAAATATCAATTTGTAGTTTATAATCCAGGGCAATTTATATGTGGACCGTAGTCCTGATCTGGTCCATGAACAAATTTTATCACGTACTTTTTATTATGTTTTATTATGACAATGTCTCACACTGCTGCAGGAATACAAACATCAGTAGGAACTGTCTATTACTTACCTTTTGGTGGGTCTTCAAAAGCAACTATAATAATACTGTAATACCAACAGGAAGTTTGAAGTGTCGAACCCTGGTCCTTTCATAGCCTGTGTGAGTAGTTCACTAGTACACTGAAGTAAACCAATACCACAAATTGTGTCATTTATTTTCATATCATAGAATAATAGAAAAAATTAAGTTGGAAGGGGATGCTGGAGATCATCTACTTCTGGTCAACCTTCTGGTCAGACAGATGTCAGGTTTGGGGTAGCACCTGAGCAAGAGCTTTGTAAATCAGTGTTTTCCAGCTAGAGGTCTTGACCTCCCTTTGGAAACCTCAGCTTATTCATGAATTTGGACTTTAGTTGGAAAAGGCTGGTAGACAGAGAATAGTATTTGAGTATCTCTTGTATTAGAACTCAATGCCTAGATCAAGCCAATAATAAGCAATTAGGATTTTATTTCATTTCAGTATAAGTGAACTATATATGCACCTGCAGTTTCTTCCTTTCTCCCTGCTCTTCCCTTTTTGCCTCTCCTTCATCTGCTATTTATGAACCATTTCCCCCATTCTGTATCTGTACAGCATCTCATGACAAATACATATAGTGGCATTTAGTGCAGCATCAGCATATGTGATCAGCATTTGATTTTTCTATCTAGGCATGCATGACTACCCTCCGTTGTCTTCTCAGCAGTATATTTAGTATGGATAAAAGAAGAATAGCAAGAATAAAACCTGGCATTCTTATTTTGAATCAGGATATCAGTCTTAGTTTGCTGTGATGGACTAATAACTTCAAATACTATATGCCTTTCTGAATCTTCAATTTGATGCAAAGAATAGGAAATTAGTGTAGCAGGTAACTTCATCCCTGTTATTCTTCTAAATTTACAGGTACAACTCACATCAATGCAGTGCTAAGGAAGTATTTCACAAACGCCCTTGAAAGGTGCAACTCATAAAATAGGTCACTGAAGCTGACAAATTTTAACATATACACAGTGCTTAAAATGTACTGAACAAGCCCACTTCTCTTTCTTACTAACACCTCAACACATGCATACTTTTTTGCAGAGATGAAGAGTCCTGCCAGAAGCACTTGGACTAAGGCTGTAAATAAAGTTATGTGTGTAGGAAGGAAGTAAATGAGTAACAGAGAATTAAAAGAAAACTATTTTCAGATTGTTACCTAGACTGAGCTCACAAAATCAAAGCAGAAAACAGTTTAATTCCAAAGTAGTTGTAAAGCTCAATTAATCCAAGAAATCCGCTAACAACTGTTTTCTGTAGGGTTTTTGTTGAATTTACTATGTTGAATATATTTTTATTTATTGGTAACTTTTCTCCCAGTATAGTACTATTTCACTGTAGTTTTGGCTGCTATCAAATACTTCTTGTCACACAGACTTTGTGGGTAAAAGCTTGAAATATAGGTGAGAAGACAGGAAAATCTGTAATTTGAAGCATTTTACCTTTAAAAATGAGATTATATGACAGTTGCTCACCTCACATCTTGTGTGAGAAGTATAACCCAGTATGTCTGTTTGGCTAACTTCTAAACCTTGCTGTTGCTAGGGCAATAATACTGTATGATCACAGGCTGTATTGCAGTTTATGGCACAACTGCATTAGTCTAAGCTGAAAAGAAAAGAAGGAGCTTCTGGGCTGAGGGCTGAGCACCAGAATGAGAATTCCCTCATTTTTCCCTGGCATTTCATGTGCATAGTTTTTAAGGTCTTAAGTGGCAGGACACGAGTTCTGGACTGAACTCCCCAGTTCTAGAAAGTTTCAAAGATAATTTTTCTGATCGTGACAGAAGGGTAAAGAAATGATAAAAATATATATAAATGGAGGGATACGTCATATGGGCCAAAGTCATAGGAGAACAGACTTCGATGTCTGTTGGTCTTAGGACCAAGATTAAACTCACAGGGGCTTCATCCATTTTACTTATACTGTACTTAATAATTTCAGCCGACTTCACTGCAGCATTCACATCAGCCATTCCCACCACCGTGCACCACCACAGCATGGACCGAGTCATTTTTTTAGGCATTACACCTACCCATAGTCAGACAGGAATTAAAAGCACTCTAGGCTGACTTGTCACCTGGGTGTAATGAAAGTGTAACCACTAACCAGTATAAGCAGGCTTCTTACTGCCAATCCAGAAGATTTACATACACCTTTACATTAAATATCCCGGTGGGAATCCAAAGCTAGATCTAATGACTTCAGGTGAAAATAAAGAAAGCTGTTACGTTCAGACCATTATTGTTCATGCTGCTTTGTGAATTTATTTCTTTAAATTTTCCACTTGTGCTCCTGCCAAGAGAGATCTATTAGACAGAAAGCAGCAAGAGTAAAACTTTATCATTTTGTTTCAAACTATAAAATAATTTACATCACATATTTTACTTACTTTTGTCTTTTTTTTTTTTTTTTTGAAACCACAAACATTCCAGCATCACACTGTAGGAATAAGAATAACAATAGAAAGCATAACCTTTTGCATAGTATTAAATGAACAGACAGAGTAAGTTCTTTATTTACAATTATTGTCTAGATAAAAAAATTCATAAAAACAGATGAATGAACATATATTAATAACCCCTAGTGGGATGGATTGCCAATGTACCACTGTATTGTTGTCCACAAATCTCATGCTGCTAAGTACAGTACGTAGAGAGCGAGCATTTATATATTGCAGGGAATTTTAACAAACTGATCATTTTGGGTTTTGATCCATTGTTCCCATCACAGAGAGGTCAAGCAATAAAAGAAAGGAATTGTGATGCACGACTTGTAGTTGAAAGGTCATAGCTATTCTGCTTTAAAAAAAAAAAAGTCTATCGTTTATCATATACATAAAGCACAGTCTCTGCTCACAAAAGCCCAAGTTTTCTATGCATCTCAGTTTATATATGTTTTACTATATACACACAGAATGCAGTGTTCATTTTCTTAACAGTTTTCAAGTCTGCAAATGGTACCTTAGGGAGGGGTACTCCTACAGGAAAATTTTAAAAAAATGAAACCAAGAAAAAATATGAAGAGTGTTTGAAAATAAAAAGGCAAACAGTCAGTGTTAAGATGCTGAAAATAAATTGTTCCAGTATTAACAGCTTCTGTAGATGTTCAAGTCCAAAGCTAGAGGCTTCCCTGTAAATAGATAACACTTTTTTTTCTTCTGAATATGATATCCCAAATAGGCCATAGAAACCCAATACATGTTATACAAAGGTTGATCACCATATTTACAAAGCGAAGAACAATCCTGACTGAGTTTCAATCACTTCGTTGCTAGGACTTAGCTAAAATAATTATGTTTTCATGCTAGCTTTTTACTGTTAAGAAACGGGTCACACTATCTGTTGAAAAGAGAGTTGTATATGCCTTCAAAGACCTGTTCTGTTGTTCAGTGAAAAGTTTGGATCAGATAGCAAACTAAGAGTTTGAGCCAAAAACATTCAAGCTTCTACACAAAAGTCCGGAAGCTGGCAATTCAAGCTGATTAGAGCTTTACCTGGCTGAATAGTCTTGATGCACCCTGAAAACATTTTAGCCAGTTCAGTCTGCAGTTTGGCCATGAGTCTAATCTTGTTTTGGAGAGTTCTGGCTTGGTTTAGTTCTTGTGACTGCAGAGATGCACCACTTTATGAGCCAACTTTAAGACAACCAGTAATACCTTAACAGATCAATTTATCAAGCTAGTTTGAGAGTGTTTTTCAACACATCTGGCATAATCAATTGTGTAATTCAAAATGTCTTTTGCACTGTACAATTATGGAAAAGATCATATGCTGAAAAGTCTCCAAGCAAACTTTATATTAAATACAAAAATTATTTATGAAAAATCTGTGATCCACAAAGTGCTTAGCATTCAAGTGGTTGACATAGCAATTATATAAGCTCATAAATTTTAAGTTATCAGGGCTGTTACCATCTTGAAAAATATTTTTCACCTTCCATACTGCAGGTTTTCAGAATAGCTTTCTTTGTAGAAAGCTCTAGGTAAAATGACGTATTACTGTGTTACAGTATACCTTGTGACTACAGGAAGACAAGCTTGGTTAAAAAAAAACAAAACAAAACAAAAAATCACACAAAGCACATTTCAATATACAATTAATAAAGTTTCATTCAGACCTAATAGTGCAGAAATTATATTTTTCTTTAAAAAAAAAATCAAAGCAACAACCTACAGTGATTTTCATCCAAAATGCCAACAGCCCGTACTTTGCAAGTAATAAGGAAATAAATGCTTAAATTACTAACTGAAAAGGATTAACACAATATATCACAATATTTTAACATTAGTTTTATCTCCATATAGACAACCCAAATATAACTTATTTTAAATTATATTTATAACTCAACTCAGTTTCATACAGTATCTCTTTAAAAATATTTTTGGAAGCCATTGCCATATGTTTAAAGAATGAAATAGCCTCCATTATTGTATGTTGCACCAAAACAAATTCAAGCAGATTATCAGAGGGAGAACAAAAAAAGAGAGAACCTGATCATTTTGATTTTTATTTGCAACAAAGGAAGCCTGGTTTACCTCCCTGTATATAGGATCACAATGCTACATCCAATGTGTTATATTTTGGCTTCTTTTGTTATTTACTAGCAGTATCTACATTATTTAACAAAAAAAAAAAAAAATCAGGCAGAAATCAGAACACGGTTGTAATAAAATATCCAGGGTGCAGTATTACAGACGTTTTCAATGAGCTGAGCTGAGCCATTTTTATACTACTTCGGCAGGAAGTGCTTTCTTAACCCTACAAATAGTTAAGGATATTATCTACAGGTTTGTAAACAAATTACATTCTTTTTTAGGACATAAATAAGTTAAAATAGTCAGAGCAATTTGAGCAGAAACAAGGCAACATGCCAACAAAGAAACTTTATATATATATAACTATATATATATAGATAGATATATACATATATATAATTAATTATGTATATACTTATATGTATATATCTCTATATATAGTCTCATAAATGTTTAAGTTCCTCTGTCCAACTGGTGCAAATCTACTGTGCAAGTTAAGCTTTGCAACTTCAAAAAAGTTATTTAAATTAATCTATACAATTGAGTCCATGCCACACAAGCATTTCAAAAAACTCACAGACCAGTGAATTGGATAAATAGCCTCAGAAAGAAGTCCTCTGCAGTTCCTGCTTAAGGAGGAAAAAAAAAAAAAGGAAATAAAAAGAAACAAAAAGAGAGAAAGAAGGGCCAGAAGTGTACAGTACATTCATGCAGGAGGATTTTTTTTGTTGTTTTTCTGAAAGGGAACAAGGGGGGGTATGTAAATCAGCCATTCATTCTTTCCCCAAAACCATTGTGATCAACAATTCATTCACTTGTCTCAGAGTGAATAAGAGTTCAAACAGCTTTTCAGCCAGCAATGTTTTTAATATATATATTTATATATTTCGGTTGCTGTGGGTTTTTTTATTTTATTTTATTTTAATTTTTTTTGCAGTGACCTTTTCAGCTAAAGTGATGTCTCCAGGCTATGTATTGGGCTTCCTGGACTAGAAGAGGTAGCTGATTTACTTGTATCAGTTGTAAGATTTATTCCACTGTCGATAGCACTGTTGTTCTTGTTCAGCGAAGACGGTGGACTCGAGTTTTTCTTGAGAGCAGGGTCTTCTTCTAGGTCTGTGTCATCAATGAGTGGGATGTGGGGCTGGGAATCTTCTATCCTAAATTCAGGATGAGTCATAAAGTTGTGAATAGAGGTTCTAGATTCTGGTTTTTCTAAACCTTCATAGAGAGAGCTACGGAATGCCTTCACGACGCGGATCTGGGGGGAGAAAAGGAAAGAAGTGTCAGAGGTAGCACCTTCAAAAGGCAACATGGTGTTAGAGAATACTTTGTGAAAAATGTAGCATATGGTTAGGGCAGTGCAGGCAGCTGAAGTCCATAGTCTCTGGATGTTATATGCATAAACGAGTGGCTCAGTTATGTGCATTTTGAATATCTGTATCATCAACTGCAATATTAAAATAAATCAAGTTTAAAGCCATCAAAGAACTGATGGGAAGTACTGGTTAAAGAAAGCGAACGTCCACTCGTGTGGTACATCCCTAGTAAAAGACAAGCCATGTTAATTGTAATGCAAATGTAAAACCATGCATGTTGATAGTTTTGCAGTGAGTAAGTAGGAAGGCTTTTTTAATTAAAAAAGTCTCTTTTGTATTGTTAAAAAACCATTACACATAACACATCACGCTTCACAAACAGAAAAGCACAAAACACAGACACGGTTGGATGGGTACATATGAGACACACACAGGAGCCAAGTGTAAAAACTATAAGTAATATCAATGTTTTAAAGCAAAATCTAAATGAATGCAGCCAAGAGCACAAAAAGCCAAGCAGACAAAGTACTAAGCATAATCATGCTACCACGGGGGGAAAAAAATAAAAATTCACAGTTACCGCATGAACAGAGATAACTTGCACACAACAACTACACTTGGAAGCCTGGATAATGTGAACATAGTATTGTTGAACCAACTTTTATTTTTCCTTCATGCATATGTGAGGTAAACACTCGAGTATAGACCCACTGTTCTAGCCATTTAACTTTTTAATATATATAAAACATGTAATAAAATAATGTATTGATTGTTGGGTTGAATTGAATTACATTGTTAAACAGCAAGCTTTTTCATTTTCTGTGTCTCAGTTGTAAAACTGTAAAGTTAAATGCTGAAAGCGACACAATTTATGCCATATATGCAGTCTTTAAACTAGGTCAGCTGACTTATGCCAGGGTCAATCTAATGTCATTAACCACCTGACAGTAAGAACACAGGTGAAAATAAACTACAAGACTTAGCCCATCAGACTGTCAGGGACAGTGCAAATTGCTTTCCCAATAGGAAATGAGAGGAACAGAGTGAGGAGCATAGCAGAGTGCGGACACTAAGTCCTCTGTGGGTGGGCAAAGGGAGGGATGCTGTCTATGTCCCAGTGATCTACCAGTTCTGAAAAGAAGTGAAGGTTTGTGCTGGTTTACTGCTGAAAAAAACATACCTTTTTGGAAGGGGGTAGGGGGGCAGAGAGGAAAAAACAGAATGGCAAAATGTGATCTGTTGGCAAATGTTTTATGACTAAGTATGAGTTCTATCCTTCTACTTCCATGTAGTCATGAGCGAATTTTTAGCATTTCTTAGAGAGGAGACCAAAACACAGGCAGAGGCAGAAAAGGTGCAAGCAGGCATTGTGAAAGCTTCTTCACACACATTTGAAATGGTTTGGTGGTTGGCATGTGTATCTTTTTACATGTAAATATGCTGCACGTTATTGGTTGGCCTAATATACTGCTAATCTGTAAAGCTCTAATTCCTCTTTCAATTGGCAAACTGCATTTTAGTAATGGCATGGGGTCACAGTGTTACAGCTATGGGATCTAGCTGATCCTGTGGTTGGAGTTGTCAAAGTTGTACAGAATTTCAGCACATTCGAAAAAGAGGCTGACATATTTTGATCTCTTTGACCTTTGTTCTTGTTTATGTTCTCTAAATTTGGATATTCATCATCTTTCAAAAATCCTAATAGCAGAAGTTAAGTCAAGTCACGCCATCTTCAGATACACGGCCTTTGGTCAGTCCAAATACTCTCCCTTCTCTTATACATACATTTGGTAACAGCAAGGCACAGTACAAAAAGTAGTTCATGTGACTGCTTATGCTCAAAATAGAGGATTGGAGTGGTACAGAACAGCTTGTCCAGATCTTGGGATACTAGAAGATTTTAGGAGGTTGGCAGAGGTGCAAGACAAGAGGAAGATAAGAATAAATTTTACATGCTAAAATCATATAGTGTACCTAAAACCTCTTTGACAGAGCACCTGGAATTATAAACCAGGGTTTTAGGAAAGCTGAATCTCTTTGAGTTGTGCTGTGCTATGTGATGGTTCTGTATAGTGAACAAACAGATTGGGATAAGAGATTCATTTGCATTACTAAAGATAGGATTAGAACTTATGGAAAAGAGGTGACACACTAATTCCCTTATTAACTATGCCTTTCTGTCTTGTACTTTAAAGTGCAAAATAATCAGTCTAAACAATGAAAAAAATCGTATGTTTTGTCAAGGCAATCTTAAAAACATGTTACTATATTGTCCTATTTTAAATCAGGAAACTTTTTGTAACATGCTTACTTTATAGTATGGGCTGATATGGTGACATTTTCTGCAAAGCTACCTATTATTTCTGGTATCTAAATAAAAATAAGTCATCTCATTCAGTTGCAGCTGTTTGGTATATCTTATCAATTAACAAAAGATTTCATTTTCCTGAACACAGCCACTTCTTATTGCATAGATTTAGGTTCTATTTGCCAGCTGGATTCTTTTTAATAAAGATAAAGTAAATTTTTACTTAAATAGAAAGGTTTGCAATTTGATATTATGCTTGAACAGATCCAGCAGAATCTAATGAAAGTAAAGCTTCTCTTCAAGTTGCACAAACTGTGTTTATGACTCTATGGGTTAGCAAGGGAGGAACTGACTTCAATTTATGAGACTCCAATTTCCATACTGGGGAAAGCATCTACATTGCATTTAATACCAAAATTTGGCATCTAATTTGCATTTAATACCAAGCTTTAGTCAGTCTAGCTAGCTGACTAACATCTTACACAACTGAGGGAAAGATATAGATTTAAATTGTATTTGAAAGCCAGTTAAGAAAAACCTGCCTGCCATGACCTGAATTTGGTACTCTGCAGTGACTCCTTGAACTAATGATCCATTGAAAGAAAACACTACACTAACATCTTTTGCTTAAATGTGTTTACACAACAATCTGAAGATATAATTGCAGAATTTACAATCAGCCAGCAGTTATATCACTTTGTGTGAAGATCTGTGGCAAAGTTTTGGCATGGACTGTTCAAGTCTTGCAGGAACATTTAGATGTTACTAGAATAGCTTCTACTCGTTCATAGCGATTTTTTACTGGAAATATTAGCTTAGAACTAGTTTGGATCTGCTGATACCTAAAGCAGTTAATCTTCTAACTTCAATGGTAATTTAAGGGCCAAACTTGGGCAAATCCCTGAAGTTGAGAATAGATAAAGTTAGCTTTCTAATAAGTTTTCTTTACTAAGTAGCTGTAGAAAAATACCTTCTTAAAATTTCTTTACAGTTTCAGAGATGTATATATGTTTTCCATTAATTTTTCACTTAAGGAGGGACTCCCTCCCCAACTTTAAATTTTGCATATTTAGCTTGGCATCTAGAAGAAAACTTTTTTTTTTTTTTTAGTGTCAACCTCATTCAGTGACAGAATTTCTGCATTACAATTAAAAATCTTCCTCATAGTCTATCCCCCAATGTATCAAATTATTGCTGACAGGAACAAAACTTGCTTCTTCCATTATGTTGGTGGAAACAAGGGTAGAGGGTTTGTTGGATACGAAGGTGGCGTTTTAATTTCTGTATAATAATACTACCATATTTAAGCTAAGAACTGAAAAAATACTATTTACCCAGAGTTACGTGGCCCAACAGCAACAAATTCTTTTAATACATGCTTAAGTTCAAGACCTGAAGTAATATCTGGTGTAAAAATATTTAGGGGCTCTGCTGAAACAAAGCCCACATTACTTTTTTGAAGATAAAATAAAGCAGATGAACTTCATATAATGTTGTTATGGTTGTACAGCATGTAAAAGCAGGGACATACCCATGATGGATAGAACCTAGAAAGTGTTGCTTTATTATGAACTATGTAAAGTTCATGTAATGATACTTCTTTATGACACTGACAATGCCAAGGGAAGACAAACAGTTTGATACAGCTCCCTTTTCCCACAGTAATGGAGACAACAGAAAAAAATGAACTGCTTTTAAACAAAAGACTGTGGGGACAACACTTCAGGACATTTTTGACATTGCTATAAGTTTCCACTTCTTTCTTCTCTGTAGCTGTAATAGAAAAAACTCTTCAGTTTCATCCCACCTTGAAGTTAGGTTTATTATACTGCATAAGGCAAGAAAAATAAAAGAAATAGAATTTTAGATACTACAAATTTTTCCCATCAGAAGAAAAAGATGAAGTTCAGAATCTCACTCCTAAGTAAAACAATCTAGGCAAAATACACAAGGCCTGTTAAGCATCAAGAGATGTATTATGGTTGGTAGTGTGTGGGCTTATACTCGAATGTTTACCTGGCTTCATATAAGCCAAGTATCTTGAGTTTGGTTCACATTCATTTCAGGCTCAAGGTTAAAGACTCACAACCTCTTTTTATTTCACTCTCTCCTGCTGAACCCTTTTGTCCAATGTTCTCTAGCCCTCTGGGAAAACAAACACATTTAATATTCAGACAGTAGAGAGTAGGGCACTGCAAAAGCAAATAAATTCAATACTGAAAGATCAGTAAGGTGATTAGTATAAAATTGTAAACAAGAGGTCAATTTTGCAGAGAGATGCCAACTCTTACGTGTAACTGATACTATTCTATATCAGGACTATAGCTATACAAAGGTAAATGAGTTGGGTCAAGTACTATTGCATATGTAAAGCTTTGAAATAGAAGGCATATCTTCAGTATATTTGGTTTTGTTTATTTTTGAATCCTCCCAGTTTTAGGTGAGTAAAATCAGATTGGGTATCCACAGGAGAAGATATTGCATGTATTGGAGTCACCTGTAAATGCTGCGGCTGGTATGTTCTGGATTGTATGATGCAGAAGTTGGGCAAATTCAAAGATAAAATGAAAAAAAAAAATTAGAAAAACTATAATTCCTAGATTTCTGCTTTAATGAGTGAAACAGATGCATAAC